GAGCTCTTTGAAATCCGCAAGTTGAAGAAAAAGCCAGGACTCAACAAGGAGCCGAAGGAGGACTGGTGGGAGTTTAGAGAAGCAACAGGAGTACTTGTCCGGCACCATGATGCACCGCGTATGTCCTTGTTCAGGCCTACGTCATGGAATGGATGTCCTGTGCACCCGGCGAAGTTGGAGCCAACTCGTGTTACGGAGATCAGTTACGTTGGTGGTGGAGTTGAAATGGAGACTTCAGATTGGCAAGGACCACAATCGGGGTCCCGGAAGCTCTCAAGGTCTTGGACGGGGAGATCCACATTCCGAATATCACCAGCCGAGGAACCCGAGGACGAGGAGCTCTTGAAGAAGGATGAAGAGTACTGGGAGAAGGTCATCGGGGATCTCACGCAGCCAGTGGAGATGGACACGATTTACATGATATATCCGGTGAGAGCGCGACGCGGTGGAGACGCACTTTTAGCCATACAAGAAGCTGTGCTGAGATTGAAGCTATGGGGGTTTCCTGTGGCCAGACTACACACGGATAGGGGGTCGGAGTTCGCCTCGAAGGGGCTTCGACGATGGCTGCTGGATCGGGATATATTCCATACCCGATCGGAGTCATTGGTACCTCAAACCAATGGTGCTGCTGAAAGAGGAGTGAGATGGTTCAAAACAAGGGCCAAGGTTCTTTTGGCTGAAGCAAAGGTCAACACCAAGTACTGGACTTTGGCGATGCAGCATGCAGCTAACAGGAGAATATATGATCGTTTGGGTTTGACGAAGCCAGCATTGTTGCCCTTTGGTTCTACAGTCATGATTCGGAGGAAGGTGTTTGGCAACAACAAGAAGTACGACCTCACGGACCGATGGGAACAGGGCAAGTACCTTGGGTTGTCGGACTCGATCAAGGGAGGAGCCGTCGTCCTGAGACCGAGTGGGATCCTGACCGAGACCCTAAACCTCAGGACGGATGTGGTGGATCCTCGGCGACTTCTACAGGAGGAGGAACCAGGTGCAGCCGATGGGGGAGTAGGGGAGTTGGTTTTTGAGGAGCCGGTGATTGACTTACCTGAACCAGATCATCGTCTAAAGGGGAAGCAGGCGCCACCAGAGATAAGGAAGCTTGGGGAGGTTCTACAAGAACCAACAGCGCGTAAACCCACGGGCTGGACTATGAGGCGGATCCTAAGGGTTCAGGAGGAGAAGGCCAAGCAGTTGTACGA